TCGCCCAGCTAACCTTCTCCACCGTTATAATAGCTTCAACCATTTCACTCGACACAGGCTGCCCCGGAAGGGAATCCAACTGGATAGCCTCCCGAGCCGACCCGGTATTACCCGGGAAATGCGTGTCCACTAGTAAATTGAGAGTTTCCATAGATGTTTTTGTCCATGTCCCACCCTCATCCTTCAGAAAAGAAGGACCGGTATGGTCCTTGGAAAGCACTCTGCTCAATCTGGCAGAATCTCTGGTACATTCTACAGTTCCGCAAAAATCCCTCCAACCCTGGCTTTTTGCGGAACGGATAGCCCTTTTATACTCTCTCAGGCACTCCTTATAAGGTTGCCAGAACCCATTCTTGTAGCAGATATTGAAGACATCCCTGGTAATCTTCCGGAGATTACTCAAATCTTCGTTCCACCACGGGGGATACTTTTTTTTTGAATATTTCAAAGGACAGGATGCTCTGAAAGCCACGCCCATGACTTTCTCAAATCTACTGATTTGCGCATCAAGTTCTTCGACTTCCTTAATATAGTTGTTAATATCGGGCATGACCATGAGCTTGGCCCGCACGATGGCTCTGAATTTAACCCAATCTGTTCTTTTAGGGTTCCTAAAAGGTTTGGGATTCCCAACTTCGAATCCCACCGTGAAGACTATCCAGGCATGGTCAGAATACGACCTTTTGCTAGATACCCTCCAGTCCTCGATTATACAGTTGTTAGTTTTGAGTGTTATATCTATCACATCTTCCCAGCCAGCAAACCTGTCTGTGCTAGGAAAAGTGAAGGTAGGGGTGTTGCCTCTATTTGCTATCTCTAGATTACTATCTAAGACAAAATTAAATAAAGACTCACCTCGTTCGTTGATCTCTGTGCTGCCCCAGAGGGTATGTCTGGCATTGGCGTCGCAACCCATAAGCAGACTTGCTCCTTCGGCTGCGCCAACCTCTGCTAGGTTTTGAACTTCCGGAGGTGGAGCAGGCCTATCATGAGCCATGTAGACTGAGCTCATTAATAGGTTCCCGCCGTTTCCTTCAATCCTCACCACCGTCATGTCTGCGGTACTGAAATTAGAGCAAAGAAAGGCTTTTATATGTTTTTTAGTTAAGACACAAGTTCTGATCTTACCTTCAGCTGGATCTACAATCCTGTAGAATAGGTTGTATTTCTGGGTGCCCAGTCCCTTTATCCTGTTACCGTTCACCCAAGGCTCCTGAATTAGAGCGATGTCGATGTCTTCCTCTTCTAGGAAGATCAATAGGTTATCCGAGGCTAATCTCGAATGCTTGAGATTAACCTGGATTACCCTCATCGCTCTTGCTCTTATCAGCCACCTCCATCTGTTCAAGGAGCTGGCTCGCTTCTTCTATGGCGTCCCCTTCTGGGTCCGCATTTCGAAATATTTTGAGCTTGGCATGCCGTATGCCAAACCGCAGTCTGTTGTCCCTCCTGTCCAACGGCTGTAGACTCTCCTCATTAATGAGAAGTAGGAAGGACTCACTGTTTTTCTGAGGTTCCTCCTTCTTGATAATTTGCCAATCATCCATCGGCACCTCAGGATTGGCAATCTTTAGGACCTTTAGCAACCTGTCCCCCGCAATATTCATCTTAGGGATCCAAATACGAGCCCGGGGTCTCCTAGGAATTTCCTTAGCTGGGATGAGCTCAATCTTGGACCCATCCCATGTATCGCTAATCTTAGCAACACACGAACTAAGAAAATCCCCGGAAAGCCGGTCCTCGCATTTGATCACCCTGTAGCCCCTGACTACCTCAGATGAATCGAAGCTCAGGACTTCGTTGCCATCGGTCGTTAGGAGATGTTCAACTACCATCTCCGATAATTTTGCTTCGACCTTGCACCATAATTCGGAGGACAACTTCAGGTTGGTAGACTTTCTGTCCACCACCCCAAACTGGAGATGATCACGGACCACCTCGCTCATTGTTCTCCCCTGTGCATGATTACCACTTGATGTTGAAGGTCTGGTTGTCCCTGGCTTGACGACCTTCGACCTTTTGCTCTCTTGAGCATTTCTTTCTTCATCTTGAGACCTTACTCTTTTTGTGGTCTCCTGAGGCTTCGTGCTCTTATACGCATTGTACTCGTCAATTACCTTCTGGTATTTGACTTTGTCCTCCGCGTCTTTTTCAGAAGTTTTACCTTCTGCTTCATTTTGGGCAATCTTGCCTAAAATGAAGATGGCCTTCGAATATCTCTTCTTGAGTACGAAGGCGGGTCCTTTTGATTTTCTGCTTTTGGAACTATGGCTGGTTCCTTTGGCTTTTTGTGTAGATTGTTTTGGTGGTTTTGCTACCTTACTGGTTTCATCACCACCAATCGATACACCTGCTTCCTGACTGGAAGCTAGTATCTCGTCTTCTGACGAGGTGCCAATTGGCTCTTGTTTTTTTAAAATTTTTTTAGTCGAATCTTCCATTTTGATCCCACGAGTGTGTCCGGAAAAACAGTCCATCCTGCCAGAGCCGACTTACCAGGATAAGGTCATCGTTACTCTCTGAGGCGACCCGGTATCAGAGAGACTCCGTTCGCGGTAGCCAGTATACCCCCCGGCTACCAACTAGTCCACTAGGCACGGGTCGTATAACACCATTGGATTGGGGGGGGGGGGGGGGTGGGACTTGTTGAAGATTAGCTTACGCTGTTACTTCATGCCCGTGGGACTTGCTGAAGATTGGCTTGCGCCGTTACTTCAAGCCCGTGAGATTCTCTTGGTTTTTCTGGTCTCACTTTCGACCTTATCGGCATGGTTGCACCTTCCAGATACCACAGAATTGTAGTACCCGCCGACATCGCTCTCAAGATCATTGACCCTACTTAAGCTCCTTCACCACGGCAAGGTGGAATCCCATCGAAAGAGAATTCTTACTTTAGTTTTATTTAAAATTTAATTAATTTATGTAAATTTCAAGTTTGGTGTGACTACAAATTGAAGAACATTTTGACTGCCATAAATGAGGGGATTATGAATTTACTGTCATTGCAGAAAACAGTACCTCACGACATGATACTGCTTGGCATTGGTGAAAATTCAAATTTCACCGGTATGAAAACCAGCATTAATACAATAAAAGTGGAAGAAAATAAATATGAAATTGCGGAACAAAAAGAATAGGACCAACAACAATCATCTTCAAAACGATAGGTTTGTTTGGCTTTAGAAAGACAAAAGAAAATTTATATTATACTTGGAATATATACTTGGTATATAATATAACTTCCGCGGGCCAAACGTGCATCGGAATGTATTTTTGATTACTCTAATAGTTCTTCCAATTATATTTCATATTCTGGAATGAAGCTCGTTAAATTGACCTTTATGACTGTTATACTTCTATTTACATACGTTCTAAACGGTGTGATCAAGTACGGTTAAAGTAGGTACCCTGCGTCACCTTAAAAACAACTTTTTTTATAAAACTAGAATAAGTTGCAAAAAAAATAAACTTGTACTTAAACTCAAGGTATTTCGAACCCCATTGATATTTTCTCTTGAAAGTTTTGAGTCAGCATCCACATACCTGACGCACTTATTATGATTACAAACCTATAACTAATAATATATTTAAATATTTAACAACCAATGTTATACATGCCAACATAGCGTTTAGACGAAGGTTGTTCCGTCTCCACAGCCGATTACTCTAGGAAATTCAAATTTTTAATAGAATACTAATTTTACTTAATTTCTTCTTTCATTCTGTTCCGGAAATTTGATCAAACTGCTGTTAATTTCAGCTTCTAAAGCAGTTAGACTTCTTTAAGGATTTTGGAAAACGTAGGCTGCGCTGAACCTGTGTAACAATCGTTAGACACACCTCTTTGGTAGCTGCCCTCAACTAAGAAGCGTAAAGTAGCTGCTAGTTTAATTATAGGTAAGATTTCAATATACGTTTTTGGTGCCCTATTTTCTTCCTTGAATATATTCATTAAATACAAAAAGGCCTTTTTTGAAAGTCTGTATTTACTTATAAATCTATAAATAAAACAAAATGTTTGTAAATAATTTATTTGAACAAATTATTGGCTTACACTCCACTTGTCAATTGCAATGGGTTAGAGCCGTTCCTACCTCTAAACCTTGTCATCCTTAATTTTTATGTTTTTTTAACACTTTTCTCAAAACTTTTTTAAGAAAAGTGCTTATTACCTTCACTCTGCCTTTAGTTCACCCTGCTTAAATTTATTTTTAAGATTTTTCCATTTCACTTGAAACGTGTCCTTCATGTTTATTATTCGCACTCACGTCACTCGACAATTAGAAAATTAAAAGACAAAAATGGCTCAGTATAAAATTATAGATCATTACAGCATAATTTACAAATTATAGGTAATTTCCAAAGTAATAAAATTACAAATATGAGATTCATCTTAAACGTAGAAATTTGGAGGATTGCTTATGCATTCCAGCAACATGTAATTTGAAATTTTAATTTTGTGTAAAATTTTCGAACCGTAAAAAATTTAATTTGATTCTTTTTGCTAAAGTGCATTCTCCTTTGCACAAGATGCTTTCCATATTTAAAAAATACACACCAAGAGTTTGTTCAGCCACCATAGAATGCTATTATTAAAAAACATTAATTTAAAAGGCTAAATTTAAAGTCTTTAATTTTATATTTTTATAGCTCTCACGTAAATTTTTAAAAATAAAATTAAAATTTATAAAACATCACAACTCCTTTATTATAGTATTAATAAATATTTAAAATTGTACAAAACAAATTTGGTATATGTATAAAGCTTAAGATTAAAAAAGGCTCAACAACGTAATTTTTCGAATTTCTTTCTTTATATAAAATAATTTAATGATTATAATATGAAATATAAAACCTTAAAAATATTTTACAAAAGAATTTTTGGTATAAAAATTTTCTATCATAACCTACACACAATTTTTATATAATATATAAATTTGGCAAATTCATTCAATGAATCATTATTAGAAAAATTTCATATCCTAAAAAATATTGATAAATTATATGCTTGGATCATAAACTGAACCATAAAATATTGGCAATTTGGTTTTTTCATGTCTAACTAAAAATAAAAATGGCGCATTGACTATAAATTCTTCATCGAAATCATTGCGTGGCAAATGGGATACTGTTGTCGCAGCACCCTCTATACCTTGTTCATTAATTTTTAAATTAACTTTGTGTACAATATCATCGACGAAAACTCTTTTATAAAAATTATTATTCAATTTTTTCATTTCATCCCCATAATATTGAAATGATGATGTTGACATTTTGCCAATATTTCTCTTTATTTTACGATTCTCTAACCAATTATTATTTATGAAAATTGCTTGCACGCTTCTAGGTTTTCTATGATTAGTTATAAATTTTTTTTTGTTTCTATTATTAACAAATTCATAATCATTATTATCATTTAATATTGAATCATATTCAAAAACAATTGGTTGATTAGAATGTAATAATGGTTTTGAATTAGGATGATTGTTGTAAAATTTTGAATTTTTTTTCAATAAAAGTTCCAATTTCGATTTTGATTTGTCTCCTTTTAAAATGATTGATTCATCGTTTGAAAATGCATTTTCCGTTATTGGTATGGATGCTTGCGATGGCGACGATGATGATGATGATGCAGATGATGTTAATGATGAAATAATTCCACTTAAATCACTTTCTCTACTATTAAAAAGACTTTTTATTCCCATTTGTGTAAAAAGTTCTCTTAAATTCATAGAATTTTCCAAATGCATTCGAGGCAAATTTAATAAAATCATTTTTTTCCGCATTCTCTTTGAAATGATTTCATCTATTCGATCGGAAGTCAATAGTTTTTGTAATTGTTCCAATTTTTCTTTGTTCGAATCGTATGGTATCATAATATACATTATCGATAAACTATCTTTAAATGGTAATCCTATAAATCGGCATTCTGAAATTATAAATAATAGTCATAAATTATTGGAATTAAAAATTGATTTGAATTACATGCATAGTTTTGAAAAACAAATTAAATATTTTTATTTAATGGTAATTTGAATTAAAATTTTAAAAATTATTTGAGGTTATTATACAAAATAATTATGAATTGCATGAATTAATCAACAATTCAAATCGGGCAAAATAATTAAAAATATGTATTAGGTATTTCGAATTTTGAAAATTTTCTAACATTATTAACGAATTTTTGTTTTATCAATTACAAAATCCGTAAATTATAATTTTAAAAGGAACTCACCATATTCACTGGCATCATAGTATAAATATTCACCACCATTCGCCATCATATCTACTAAAACTGGTGGAGAGCTATAACCATCCGGATAAAAATTTCTCTTCATAGTAATACTTTCTATAAATGATGTCTGCCATAATGAACGAAAATATAATGCACTTGTGATTATCATATTTGTTGTTGTATCAATATCACCCATAATTAAATTTTCAATTTTACCATTTGTTTTACGTTTTCCCCAATCATTAATATACTGACGTGCATATTCTGAATTATTTTCAAAATCTAGCAATACAATCTCAGAGTTGCTACGATAAATTGATTTAACAAAATTTTCATAATCTGATTTTAATTGATAACCACTTTGAATGAATATACCATTTGCAATATCAATTTCATGATCATTGAATTTTGATTGTAAACCATTGTCATAATTTTCATAATTAAAATTCGGTATATAAGAGCGTTTTGATGGTATTGATCTTCGAAAAATATGATATTTTTTCAAATTTCTATATTCACTTGGTATAGATGATAATTTGGGATCTATTTTTGATAAAGATGATGATCTTTTCCGTTTATTCCTTTGCACTTTAGATAAATTTCCCTCATCAATTTTATTATCTTTTGTTAAATTATCAATTAATATTCCAAATTCTTCATGTACCCTTAAAAGATTTGCATCGAAATTTGGTACTTTATCGAATCCAAGTATTTTGATTAATTCCTCTTGTGTATTAGATTTTGCCCCCAAAGCAAGTAATGATAGAACATTCGCAATACCAATAGGTGAAAATACTTGGTACTTTATATTGGTATTATATTTTGTTGATAATGTTAATAAATTTTGTGCAATTTCCAAAACATTTCTTGATAATAATTCATCTACTTTTGTCGCATACTCTAATCCTTCTCTAACTGGATTATGTGTTCTAAATTTGATATTTCCACTATTATGTCTGCATAAAAAATTTTGAAAGAAATAAAATAAAATTTTTAATTTTCAAATTTAATTCATAAAATTCAATATCTAAATTTTAATTTATTTATTTATTCAATACTGCTACATTTTTATGTATGGATTGGGTTGATTTTTTTATATACCTTAAAATATCCTCTCTATACACAAACGCTGAGCAACTGATAATTTTAAATAAAATTAATACTAAATATTTATTCATTTTTAAAATCACTGTTTGTGTCCTCTATATTACTAATTTTTTTTTTTGTTTTTTGATAAAATTGTAAATTAATTCTCAAAAATATAAAAAAAATATGCAAAATATTTAATGTTTACTCTTTGGTTATTCACACTAGAATATTATAAAAATTTACGAAACCCTGTTATTTATAGCGACTCACAAAAACTTTGAAAATGATAATTAAATAAAAATTCCCATAGTTATTTGGCCCTCTCTCTCTCTCTCCCCCTCTCTTTCTATATTTTATTTTTTAGTTTATTGCGGGATTGCCTTTAATAATTTATTGAAATGTTGACTTAAACGCCACACATGCAACAAATCAGGATAAACCAGTTGAATTAGGAATCCCTATTTTAAAATGTTTATGATCGTAAGGAAAACCATCATGAGAGAATGCATGCGGATATTTTCATATACCATATTCATACCGATATAAGTATACATAACAGTATTTTAAATATTTATGACATATTTATTATATATGTATGTGTGAATGTATTTTTTTTATCTTTACGATATCCTTTGGGATATTTCCCATATTATTATTCTTTTATTTTATACTTTTTATTTTTATTATTTTCTTTTTTATACCCTGCACTTCGTGAAGGGTATATTAACTTTGGTATGGAGTTTGTAACTACTTGAAGGAGTCATCTGCGGTATGGACATATATATATATTCTTGCTCAGCGTAAAATTCTGCGTCGATTTAGACATGTCCGTCTGTCCGTCCGTCCGTCCGTCCGTCCGTCCGTTCGCACGATAACTCAAAAACGAATAATGCAATCGACACCAAACTTTCACAAGTTTTTTCTTTTGTGCCAAGGACGAGCCCTATTGTTATTGGACTAATTCGGACCACGGGTTCGGCTAGCTGCCATACAACTCAAAGAGTTTATTTTAAATATTTCAAAAACTAATAAAGCTATAAATATAAAATTTTGTATACATGTGTCCAATTATATTCTACACATGCTCTAAAAATTATAATGGGATAGCTGCACCGGTTCGGGTGGCTGCCATACAACTCCAACAGCAAATTTTTTATATTCGGCAAAATAATAAAGTCAGATTCATGAAACTTGGCAGTCATGTGTCCAATTATAGGTCAAATATACTTCTGAAGTTTTAGAGGAATTGCTTTACAGGTTCGGGTTCCTGCCATACAACTCCAGAAGCTAATTTTAAATATTTGGAAAAATAAGAAAGTCAGATTCATGAAACTTGGCAGTTGTGTGTCGAGTTATAGGTCAGATATATTTCTGAAGTTTTAGTGGAATTGCCTGACAGGTTCGAGTAGCTCCCATACAAGTCTAAAAGCTTATTTTAAAAATTTGGAAAAATAATAAAGTCAGATTCATGAGACTTGGCAGTCGTGTGTCCAATTATAGGTCAGACATATTTCTAAAGTTTTAATGTGATTGCTTGACAGGTTCGAGTAGCTCCCATACAAGTCTTAAAGCTTATTCTTAATATTTGGAAAAATAATAAAGTCAGATCCATGAAACTTGACAGTTGTGTGTCCGATTATAGATCAGATATATTTGTGAAGTTTTAGTGGAATTGCTTGACAGGTTCGGGGACTTGCCAAACAACTCCAAAAGCTTATTTTAAATATTTGGAAAAATAATAGTCAGATTCATGAAACTTGGCAGTTGTATGTCGAGTTATAGGTCAGATATATTTCTGAAGTTTTGGTGGAATTACTTTACAGGTTCGAGTAGGTCCCATACAAGTCTAAAAGCTTATTCTAAATTTTTGGAAAAATAATAAAGTCAGACTCATGAAAGTTGGCAGTTGTGTGTCCGATTATAGGTCAGACATATCCGTGAAGTTTCTATAGAATGACTTCACAGGTTCGAGTAATTGCTACACAATAACGAAAGGTGCAGGGTATAATTCAATCGGTTTATACCGACTGAAACGTTTTTACTTGTTTTTCCTTTCAATTATTCTGATTTTTTTTTTGTGTTTGTTTGAATGTTGGTATATCTATTTTAGTACGAAAGGTGGTGTGAGGACGTGTATAGTATTTTTGTACCTGGCTAATAGTTGGCAAAGCCTAATATGTGCGGTCATTAAGAACTATAATTTGTGTGGCACGAGAGGTTTTACCAGATATCTATTAACATACAAAAGCATGAATGTATTGTATGTATACAAAATAAAATTCCATATGAAAAAACAAATGTTATGAGGAGGATTTCCGTAGCAATAAACTTAAAAGCAAAAAAAAAAGATACATTTTTAATATTTATGTTTTGATGTTTTGAGAAGGATTATCACATATAATAATTAATATTTACGTGTTGTGTTGCGTGTGGTATAAGTAAAATACGCTTTTGCGGAAGAGTTTAGCGCACTTAATTACCCATCTTAAATAGTTTTGAATTTTTTAAAAATCTTGTTTAGTGCTTTTTTTTTATTTTTTTAAGGTATTTGTGTTTGTTCTTAAATTAAAAATATCTTTAATAAATTTTAGTTAATTGAATAAATGAATCAAAGATAAAACGGATAAGTCCAAATAAGAACTTTTAGAAAAACGATTAAAATTTTGTGAGAAATATTTAACAACGAGTGATAACGACTAAAGAATTATTTGATTTAAAGCTACATTATTAGTTTATTTATTCTGTAATCAACAAAATCAAAAAAATATATTTTCTTAACTTAAAATGCCATACTAAAATTAACATCCAAAGAGCTCCTTTATACCATCCTTTATACCATATAGAAATTTCAAATGGTATGTTTGTTTGTTACGTAACTAATTAAGGAATTTCTAGATTATTATTAATAAAAATGTGTTCGAATGAGTTTACAAATAAGGTAAATAAAGCATGTAATTGATCTATGAATTTAAACGCTGGTTTTTATACTTACGTCCATAATTAAGAAAATCTCAAATTAAGTTTTTTTTTTTGTATCTTTGAACCCTATAATAAGACGAGTTGAAAATGAAAGTATGTAATTTTAACTGGATCCTTTTAATTTCAGTATGGTCTTTAATTATTTTTAAATAATTCTGAACGAGCTTGTGTAAATTTAAAGAAAAAAATTCAAATGCCTTTCAAAGTATATAATTTTAAAGGTATTTGAAATTTCGGTTTTGCTCCTCCATATGTGGATCTAATGGCTCCTTCTTTCTCTCAAATGTGTTGTAAATTTTGACTTTTTTGAATATTGTAATATTTACTGAACTATTTCATCAATAAATTATTATTAATTTTCATTGAATTGAATTAAGCTTTCAGATGTACTTTAAAAATTCAAATGAAACTTATTATTGTTTTCCTTCGATTAAAGGTTTTTATTCTCATGTGGAAAATTTTAATTAAACTATACGTCATTTTATAGATATAGGTACTATAAATATTCATACATATACAATACAAATACAAGTACATGTAAGTTATATGTGCAATTTAACAAAAAAACATACAAGTACACCAATTTTATTAACATACAAAGAATTATATATTGCCTCTAACAATGCTAATTAAAACCATCTATGTAAAAACACAATAAAAAAATTTATATGTATATAGAATTAATATACCATATGTGTACATATATATATTCCCCATTACACATATGTTTACTTTGTTTTTGCATATACTGCAGATTCACATCCTGTAATTCCTAACATTTCATATTTTCCCACTTTCAATTCGGATAAACTAAAACAAAACAAAAAATTTTACGTACATATGAGCATCATATTGTGCTTATATTTTATATATGAAGTTGTATATTCGATTCCCATTGTGCACATATGCATTTATGTCTGAGAATGTTATGTTTATTATATACACATATGATTTTTATTTAATTTTATGATATTTACTTAATATGGCCAGTTGAAAACCCTTAGGGAAAATTATTGCCTAATATATGAAAACAATGTTCTTTTTTCCAGGAATTTCCTACATATGTGACCATCATATGATCGCGAGAACATAAAATCTTATATTATTTAATGTGTAAAATAATCTATACAAATTTGCCTAAAGTTGAGATCCTCTTTATTAACTATTTATACAGGCGTTTCCTTAACAATTTTATTATCAAAAAGAAAGGAAAATAAAAATTTAACTGTTTTTGCTATTGTAATTTCGAAATAGCTGAAAAAGGAAAAATGAATCAGGTAAAATTACATATGCACATATATGTACATATGTACATATAGAAATAAAATGACAACTCTAAACAATGTTCACGTACAATTGCTATTATTTCGTATACAAAAATTTGAATATAAAAATAACAATATATACAAAAATACATACATATATATTATAAATAATATGTATATATTTCTATTCTGTTTAACATTTTTTTCATTAAATATCCTTTAAATGTTCACATTATTTAAAAGTCAATCGAGTTTCTTTTTCGTTGGCAATTATACAAATTGCTCAATTTGTTGGACGTTCATTCCTTCATATATATTAGCATATAAGTATATTAGCTTTATACCTATTTGAAAATAAAGATATTATTATGAATATTTATATAAGTATGTATAAGTATGTATACTAAGTATGTATATACTAAGTATAATATTGATGTAGCTCTTATTTTACAATATGCAAGCATATGAAAGAAAACTGTGGTTTTCGGTTTGAATATAATTTTAGTATTGTACAATATATATACATACATACGAGTACATATATTTATTAAAGTACTACGTAATATGTGCATCGTAATAATATATATTATACTCTAGCTGTTCGGTTATTGTGCAATATACATACAAATATATTTCTGCATACCAATAATATTTATGTGCACATTATTCGAGCGCGCATTATGTGAGCCAGACTCTATGTACAGAAATTAAATAGGATTTTATAGCATGCATATAACGTACATAAAGATTACATACATTTTGTATCAATCGACCTTTATGAATTACAACCATTTTCTGTTTATATCCTTGGTGTCATGTGGCGCCTACAAAATTTGGGATATCCGAAAAATTTATTACAAATAAATGAAATTATTTTAAAATTTATATTATAAGTATATTATGCATGTTTTATAATTTTATTATATGTGCATTTCAACGTATACAAAGACACACACAAAAAAAAAGTAAAAGATAATTAGGTGGAATTCTCAATGGAAGGATAATTGCATGTTGTAAAATTCTAATTTAAAGGATTTATTGCACTCTACTATAATATACTCACTTAGTTTTAGTGTTGAAAATTTAAAATGATTTTATAATATATTTATGTATTTTTGCAATGATTTCAAATTAAAGAACAATTGAAATATTTTCCTAAAATAAATAAAGAAATATTTAAAGAATTTGTATATATACATACTTATATGTATGTATATGTAATTAAGTAAGTTTATCTATGCACATTTAGTAATGAGAAGAGTTAAATAACTTTTGGATTATGTTATTTGTATAATAATATTTAATTACATATACTCATACATAATTAAGCCAATGTGATATCATACAAGTACATTATATAAAGAACTTATTTCTTTTGCAGGAATCTTAACCCATAATAGGTCACAGTTAAATATATTAATTTTACAAAGACCTTTTTGCATTATTGTAATATTCATTAGTTTAACATTACATTGATATAGAAAGTTCCTTGAAATAAACAGATTAATTTTGATTCTATAATAATTAAAATTAATTTTAGACGAACTTTAAAGAAATTTTGTAAACAAAAGAAACTTTGAAAATAAAAATTTACAACTTGTCAAGATTGAGCAATTTTTAAGAATTTAATAGAATAAAAAATTAGAAAACAGTTATTATGCATATTTTTATGCAAGTCTGCTTTACCTTCTGTACATTTAGAAGCAATTTTACAACAATGTAAGAACATGGTAATCATTAATCTCTTCCCACGTACGGTTTTAGAACTTCAATAAAGTTTATAATTTCGAAGAAGTATTAGTAAATTAACATTCTGCTTGACAACTTTTCCTAATTAATCTTATATTAATGATATAAGGCTAAAATTTATAAATTCCCCCCAATTGTTTTCTAACATTTGCGTCCAATTTTTTGTGGTATGAAATTATTTACTATATTTAACATTATTATCTTCCTATGTTTGCCGAATTTCAAAAATTTGTTTAAGTTTCGAAAAAATAAACTATAAACAAACTTTATTTTTTAGGATATTATCGGATGGATGAGTGCCCCTTTTACTTCATTCTAAGGATTTTTCCAGATTTAAAGGACTCGTAGAAAGAAACTGTTAAATTAAACTGATTGAATAAAATGAATAGAATAAACAAGCTACAATTTAATTGCTTTATAATTTGATTTATGAAAAGGAGTCGTAAAATAAAAATATGTACATATGTATGTAACACTAATGTATATATAAACATAGCTATAAATTATAAACAACAAAAAACTTTAAAGTGAACGAAATTTTTCTTCAAACTTTCAATTTTTAACTCGAAAAAACTGTCAAACATTAATAATAAACACCTTCACACTTTGGCAAATAGCTAATTTCCAAACTTAACTTGCCACTTTTGAGAGAACAATATCTATATCACATTTTGTCAACACAAACACATGCGTTGTAAAAAAGAAAACTGGAGGAATATTGCTCAGACGACAAATAATTTTGACAACAGGAAGAAATTTTTCATATTCACGTCTAAAATTCGCGTGAAAAACATTTTCTATGAAAAACATTTTTAATACTTGTTTTTTTTTTGCCACTTCTTTAGAAAATTAAAATTCATAGTTAAAAGTGAATTTGCCATATTTTTTTTTATATACATTGAAAATATTTTGTATTGAAATGATTTTTTACACCTCTTCTTTTATTATTCTTGTGTATTCTTTGTCAATTCAAAAACATTATGACAAAGAAAGTGTTAAAAATTCGTTTCTATGTCATTAATCAAAGTAACTTGTTGAAAAGGAGTTTTCTTTACCACATAAAATATATTTGAGTTTTTGTTTCTTTTAAAGTTTTCAAATCATTCGATTGAAATTTTTTATATTCATACATTCAATACAGGATGAATGAAATAAACTTGAAAATTCTATTTCTCTAAATTTCTTGTAAATTTTTTATTTTGCTATAGATGTGAAATCGTGCAAATGTGATGAAAGTTTGCAAAACTGTAAAGTGTTTGTGCAAAGCGTGCAAAATCAAAAAAATTGATAAAAAAATATTTTTCCAAAAATTTCATAAATTTTATTTAGAAAATTATTAAACTAAGGTAATTTTTTTTAGAAACAGTCATCACTAGTACAATATTCCAATGTAAAACATAATGTTTCATACATATACGTTGGGCTTCAGCATACGAACAGTGCGTTTGCCAACGTCAAACGTCGAAAATTATAATTATGCAAATTTGCTTCAATTATTACTTTAATATAAAGCTGTTCTTCAATAAAATATTTCCTGAATCCCTCATCCTCTATGTGACTCAAGGCGATTCCCTAACCCTCTCTCTGGCAGATATGATGTCTATATGGCAGCTTAAATATTTTATAAAATTTAATCTAAAATTAATTTAAAATATACTTTGCAAAAACTTCATGGTTACTGAACTAAATTACACTCACTAAAGCTTGTTAGATTACTCTGAATTCTTATACATCATTAATTTTCAAAAAATCTTTAAATTAAATTAATTCAGAAAAGCGAATAAGATACAATAATAAAATTTCAATTAGAAAATTAAAATAATTTTTTATTTTAAATTTTAATTACATACTCGTATTTTTAATATATAGATCGAAAAATTAAACCAATACAAATATCACTTATAATAAAATTTTTAATACAAAACTAATTTAATCTACTTATACGTGTATAACTAAAATAATTGAATCTGAAATCATGAATAATAAGCGTATTGTTTTCATATCCATTTTAATTTCGAAAATTACACCATGTCTAATATATTATAACACACGCATATAGACAGAAGTATATCTGTTAAACTAATTTAATGGTCCAATTCCAAAATAATCATATAATGATCGAAAATTATACATTTATTACAAGATATTTACATACTTAATCTACAATTATATTACATTTGCCCATTTATAATAAATGTTCAATAATATTACATACTATCGTTAACAGATAAACGCGTATACTATGTAATTAAATACAAACACACTTAATTGTGTGTGTATAAATCTACACTCTTTAAAAATATATTTTCATCCTTTTATATAAAATGCTAAAAAATTTCCATTGTTATCTATTTCAAAAAATTTATAAAGTTTCCATACATTTTCATTTGAATTTAAACCTAAATTGAAAGGTCCTGGTTCGGTAAATATTTTTTGATTTTTATGTTTTGTATCATCAGGACCAATAATCATTAAATATTTTCCATTATATGAATTCAAATATTTACGAAATGTTTTAAAACAATTAAAATAACAAAAAAATAATATAAAATTTTCTGTATTATTTGCACATTTTTTTAAAAATTCCATATTAATATCAACATTGTCAACATAATTCAATTGAATAAATTTCGTTGGCGAATATTTACTTGTCCACCATTTCTCATTAATTTCTATACCATAAACACGACTTCCTAAAACACAAAAAAAAAGAAAATAAATATTAGAATGGAAATTAATATTTAAGGACGCTTTTTATTTTAATTGAATTAGAAAAAAAAAAACAGAATTCATTTGAAATAAAAAATATTTACTTACACTTATTCACATACACTTACATATGTATATGTAAGAATGTGTGTACCACGCAAAAAAAAAACATTGAATACTATATTTATTTTAACTGGATAAACATTTTTATTAATTACCTGTACTCTGTTCTATAAGCCATTCCAAAAGACCAGAACCAATTCTTCTAAACAATTTTTGAATTTCTTCTAAACAATTTTTTATAAAATGAAGGCAATTTTGATTTGGCCATACCCATATATAACGAGATTTTTCATCATGTGACAATTGTTTGCCAATTTCTATTATATCTTGCCATTTTTTTTCGTCTGTTAAGGACTTTATTTGATTATCCAAACAAACAGTGTCGGGAGACATATTAAAAGTGATTTTTTATTTGCTTAAATTCATTTTCATTTTCACAAATTCAAATTACAACTAAGTACATACACACATCATACATACATACTATATACCTGTACACACAAACTCACTTTTACCTACATATTCTAATCAAAGTCATTTAAAAGCTTTTTTTTTTCGTTTTTTGTTTTTGTTTTTCTTTTATGTGTTTTATTTGTTTTTGCATTTTTTATTACCTATTCTTTTTGTTTGCTTAAAATCAACAACAAAAGGTACAATTTTTTTCTTTTTTTTTAAATAAAATCTGACAGTCAAGAAAATTACAATATAAACAATTCATACTCGTATATACATGCATTTATATACACGCAAATAAAGCTGGGCATTAGTATTCCGATATTATACTAAATGGATACAATAATATAAAAGAAAATATTTACAATAGTAACGTCAAGCTAAGTGGATACTAATTCCGGATATATGTAACATATTTGTGTATAAAGATATATAACAAAAGAGTGTATATATGAAGGTTACACCTTCTAGTAAACGAGTAATAATTTAAATAATTATAAAGGTGAATATGAACGTCGTTAAATTGAAATTAGATTTAAAAAAAATATTAGCGTAACTTAGCTGTATCAGATGACTTTAAAGTCTAAGGCAATTGTATTCATACCGTAAAAATTCGCTTTACCCAGTAGTTTTCGGTTAAATAATTGAATCTACATAGGTTCAATATTATATGAATTAAATAAATTTTCCTAACATTTTTTTAGTATTTAATTTTAATCACATTTTCAAAATTAAAGAAACGTTTATTTCAAAAATGAGTTCATTATTATTAATTGAAGAAAAATTTAAGCAGAGCTGAAAAGGTGTAATTGGGGTTTGTATTAAGAATTGAGTTGAAAATAAAATTTTTAAGTTTTAATCCTGAATTAAAATTATTGCGTATTCTTGAATCTAAATGTGCCATATACATAGAATTTCAAATAAACATGAAATTACAAGACCAAAGGTGATTAGAGCTTTGCTTATTATAAGTACTTGATTCGCTGTAGTTGTATTTTTCCAACATTGAAACATTTTATCTAAACGGTAATTGCATTTGACATTATAAACGAAAACCCATAAATAAAGCAGAACGAAAATATTTGCCCAATAAAATTAGAATTCAAAATTTATTGTATAGTCTTTGCTAAAACATAAAAGATTTCAACTTGAACTTGACATTTAATTTAATTTTTCTTTAGAAATTTTATAATAACAAATAAAAGAAAAAAAATTTCACTTAAATTTTTATTTTCTGTTTTTGTTTCGGCGCTAATGAAATTTTCATGTGAATTGCATTAATTTGACGCCCAAGAATTCTTTATTTTTAGTTCAATAAATTTAATTATTTTTGGCAAGAATAAATTTCAAATACAAATGTAATTTCAAAACAATATAAAGTACAATAAAACATTCAAGTACGAATACATGGTGCATATACACAGGAAGAGCTGGCACACATAAGTAAAACAAGCTTTTATAACAATTAAAGCGTTTTATAATAGTAATTAGATTTTAAGAATAATTAATTATCATGTAGAATTTTGGCAAAAAAAAACCATTAAATTTATATCCACCTTAAAAAATCTCAAAAGATTGAACGTTTTGTTCTAAAACACAAGTTTAACTTTTAATAAATATTTTTAATTTCACCGAGCGATTAATTGCCGAATATCAGTCATATAGGGAATACATCAACCCTGAATCGAGATAGCGGATAAAGGATGATTAAAGTTTCGAATTACAATAATAAAATAAATAAAAACAAAAATTTCAGTTACCTTCCTAATTAATTACAAAAACAATTCTGTGAACCGATAAAATATTTTATTTTTCAACAACAACGAATACGTGAGTTTTTGAAGATTTCACTCTTTGCAATTATGTGTAGCTTAAAAAATTTAAAATATTATAAACTTCGTATTTCGCTTTATTTTATTAATATTAAATAGGCCAATCTATGAAGACCTCTTGTACCAAACATGGTTAGAAGCAATTACATAAGTGTTAACGTATATATAATGTTAACTCCACAAATCTCATTGTTTCACAATATAACAAAAACAGTAAAAACATTAAAAATAGTTTTCAAATTCTTGGCATTAACTTCCAAATGTACTATAACCTACACGCACTTATATCAGGACAATCTAATTGTAAAACTGTTTGTGTAATAGATATTTAAAATTGGCATAGGGGATTGTATGGAATCTACCCGATCTCTCAAGCCATTCGACTAAAACTTCTGAGGCATATTTAAGATACAAACAAAGACAGAACTGCCAAATTTCATATAGCTAGCTTTATTATAATTCCAAATATCTTAAATTAATTCTTGAAGTTGTATGGTAGTTACCCGAATTCATTATTCAAATTCGTCGAATCGTTTCATTACATTCAATCCATTTATAATCGTTACTGAGTATTCTGCGATCGGATGAACAGACGGACGGACGGCTTGATGAACCTATCTAAAATAAACGCAGCAGTACATGCTCATACCGCAGATGTCTCCTTCAAATTGTTACAAACACCATACCAAAATGAATATACCACCCATCATTAGGTTGTAGAATTTAAAAGCTGTACTAGAACAAACCAATGATTTCCGGAATAGCATATTTCTCTTTAACAATTTAAGTCTAGAAATTTGTATTTTCTTATTTTTAGAGCTTATATATAACATGTATAGGTCCTAATAATTAAAATGATGTTCTACACAAATAATTCTTTTATTAACATATAATATTTCATTCTTTTCGGGGTATTTTCAAGTAGTAATTAGTTTTACTACCACAAAGATTGGTTTCTAATTAGTTTAGCAAAGCATATAGAGGTACATATAATTTTCGAAAACAGGACGTTTATAAAAACAGAGAGCATAAGTGTCGAAAACGTAAAGGCTCGTTTAACATTTTCCAAAATTTTATTTTAACATAAAATGTAAAAATTTGAGTTGCTGTAAATAGGGTAAAAGTAACCTTTGGAGAAAATATAAGCGTTTAGCAAAACTGTTTAAAGAGTCAACTCGACAACCTGAAATTTTCTAGTTACGAGAATTTACAGATTTTCTGTAAATATTGACATAAAAAGACCACTGGACAAAAGGACAGACTGATAGAAAGAAAAGCAAAGGGAACTAGATAAATACTTTTATTTTAAATTTTTTAGAAATGTACCAGAAATTAATGTTTGTTTCCTAAAAGGAAAAGATTTTTAATCGTTATATAATTTTTGTATTAATTAATATTTAATTTATCGTGTGAAATAATTTTGTAAAAACGTTTCATAAATCTTTTTATCAAATCAAAAAATAATTTAAGGGTCATAGTTATTTCAAATTAGAAAACAAACAGAACTTGAAATGCTAAATGCGAAAAACAATTTTTTTGACACCTATAAGGCTGTACTTTATTGTTTTATCCCGACAGCCTTAAATTCTTAAATTAAAAATTGTGCAACTAATTTAATTAGTACGTAGAAGTAACAAATTCAATTCTGAAATTGTTATTTATTAACTATTATTACAGTATTGCACTCAACTAAATTTTCACATTTCTAAGGAATAATATTAAATTTTATAGGATATTAAATACCTTCGTTTTCAACAATTACGTAAGATAAATTCCAAACATTTTCAATTCTAAATTTGCATTTGTTATACCAATCTTAAATCTGAAATTCAATCAACATATATTTTTAATATTCCACAAATGTAAATTCATCTTCCAATATCTAGATCTCCATATATGTACATAACTACATATTCTTAACAGATTTGTATTTAAGAGAATTATGAACACATTATTATGATAACAAAAAGATTATAAACAGAATTGCACATAACTTTATGCCATTTCAAAAACAGTATACATGATTGTAAACTTTTAAGAAATAACGACGTGATATATTTAGACTTCACGAACTAAACAGATCCTTATAAGGATGAATACGTGTTTCCATTATAAGTTCAACTTTAGAAAATGTTACTCTTTAGCATTATTCTTAAAAAAACAATTTTTAACAAATATATCTGTCTCTTCTCTCTGTGTTTTAAAGATACATTTTAGTGAAATTATCAAGGAAAATTGTGAGATTCGAAAACATTTTAAAATTATATATATTTTCATATATAATAACAGTGTACATACAATATTGTATATTAAACGTAGTATCATATATTAATCATACATTTTATACATACTTACTTATATATGTATTAAAATTGTAATATGTTTGTTCTTTATCTTCGAATTAAACTTAATATGCTCTCAATTTTGCAAAAATAATAAAACTTTATCTATGCCTGACATTCAAAATGCATTAAAAATGCAAGACTTACACAATATTTTACTTCTTACTCTTAAAATTAAAGTAAGTAAGAAGTTTGGATGCAAGTTTAATAATTACAAGAAAAAAAATTAATTTGCTAATTTTGCCGAAATTGAAATGCATGCTATAAAAGGAATGACTTCAAATACAAAGAGTACAAAACCTTTCTCAAAAAGAAAAGTTCCCTTTTTGTTGAACGTTGAAACTTACAGCACCAATTTTCAAAAAGGTTCGTAAAAACAAATTTTTGGACATTTTCAATGCAATATAACACATGACCATACCGCTTCCGCAGTTGATCAATTGTGCTGTTTAGTGAAACCCCATGTCATATATGAAGTAAAAAGATCTTCTTTAAAATAAAAGTTACAATATTGCCTCAAATTCAGTGACCATAAATAATATTAACGCAAAACTTCTGGAATGTATTCCGTATAATACAATCTTGAATAAATTTAATAGAACCAAGTAATTTTTAAAATTTCAGGTAAAATAATGAAAAATAACTTTGTAAAATGCCATAAGAATAAAAATATGTTTTGTAAAATATTTTTCCATGCATTTCGAATTCATGATGTCTTAAAATTTAATATTACAATGTACATGATTGTTAACTACTTACTTCTACGATATTTTCACATCCTTTCATATATACGATAATGGTTGATGGTTTTATTACGTGTTCAT